GATAACACACAAAGGGTTAATGGTATTTCATAACTAATCGATTGAGCAGCGGCTCGTAGACCACCTAAAAAAGAATATTTATTATTTGATCCATATCCTGACATAAGGAGTCCAATAGGAGCAATACTGGAAATGGCAATCCATAAAAAAACACCGATATTGAGATCAGATAAAACAAGGTGATAACTAAAAGGAATTACTGAATAACTTAGTAAAATTGATATAACTGCTATGGATGGTCCTATACTGAATAAACGAGTATCTCCTCTAGATGGAAAAAGATTCTCTTTGAAAATAAGTTTTGTCCCATCTGCTAAAGCTTGAAGAATTCCCCAAGGACCGGCGTATTCGGGACCAATACGTTGTTGTATTCCTGCAGATATTTCTCTTTCTAACCACACAATTACGAGTACACCTATTGTGATTCCCAATACAAGAGTCAAAATAGGGAAAAACATCCCTATGATTCCATAGACTTCTTTTAAAGATTCCAATCTAGAAAAAGAATTTATATCTTGTACTTCTGTTGTATCAATTATCATTTTAACGATCAACTTCTCCCATAATGATATCTATGCTACCTAGTATTGTCATAATATCGGCCAATTTCATTCTTTTAACTAACTGAGGAAGAATTTGCAAATTGATAAAACCAGGTGGACGAATTTTCCACCTCCAAGGAAAACCACTCTGATCTCCTATTAAAAAAATTCCCAATTCTCCCTTTGGGGCTTCAACTCTTACATAAAGTTCTTGCTTCGGTAATTCAAAAGTAGGAGAAGGTTTTTTACTAATGAATCGATATTCAAAATCATTCCATTCTGGATCCCTTTCTCTAGCAAAGAATCGGGTTTCTAAATTCTCATAGGGTCCCCCTGGAATTCCTTCCAGAGCCTGTTGAATAATTTTTATCGATTCCCTCATTTCAGCGATTCGGACTAAATAGCGAGCTAATGAATCTCCTTCTTTTTGCCAATGGATTTCCCAATCCAATTCGTCGTAACATTCATAATGATCAACTTTACGAAGATCCCATTGGATTCCGGAAGCTCGTAGCATTGGTCCCGATAAACCCCAATTTATTGCTTCTTCTGGACCAATAATGCCTACCCCCTCAACTCGTTCTAAAAAAATAGGATTTCGCATAATAAGTTTTTGATATTCAGAAACCGCTGTTAAAAAATAATCACAGAAATCCAAACATTTATCTATCCATCCATAAGGTAGATCGGCCGCTACTCCTCCGATACGAAAATAATTATGCATCATTCTCATACCGGTGGAAGCTTCGAATAGATCATATACTAATTCTCTTTCTCTGAAAATATAGAAAAAAGGAGTCTGTGCACCAATATCTGCCATAAAGGGGCCAAGCCATAACAGATGAGAAGCTATACGACTCAACTCTAACATAATTACTCTGATATAACTGGCTCTCTTAGGTACTTGAATGTTTCCCAACTGTTCTGGTCCATTTACGGTTATTGCTTCTGTGAACATAGTAGCTAAATAATCCCAACGTGTTACATAAGGCAGATATTGTATAACTGTTCGATTTTCCGCAATTTTTTCCATTCCTCTGTGTAAATAACCCAATATTGGTTCACAATCAATAACATCTTCGCCATCTAGAGTAAGGATGAGCCGAAGAACACCATGCATTGATGGGTGGTGAGGTCCCATATTGACTATCATGAGGTCTTTTCTTGTAGTTGTTACATTCATAGGTTATTCCTCGATTCATTCTTTCATGAATTGCTGAAAATGAAAAGAAGTTCATTAAAATTCAAGATCTAATAAAAAAATAAAATAATTCAAATTCCTTTTTCAATTAACGAGTTTTTGATTCCCGAATATCCAGCTGACTAATTAATTCTTTATAACGTACTCTATTTTTCTTTGACAAATAAGAGAGCAGTCGTTGGCGTTTTCCCAGGATTTTACGTAGACCTCTCTGAGATAAATAGTCTTTTCTGTGCAATTCCAAATGTGAAGTCAGTCTTCGTATCTTATTGGTGAAATGAAATACTTGAAATTCAACGGACCCCCTGTTTTCTTCTTTTTCTTCTTGTGAAATAACTGAAATGAATGAATTTTTTACCATAAAACGGATTTTCTATCCTCTTTTTTTTTAATGGATTTTACTGATCAGTAAGAATAATGCTAGTCATTTTAATTTGGTATACACAATAATCTTAATTTCTTTATGAACTCCTAATTTTATCAAATAAAATTAATCAATCCAATTTTCTTTTCAATTTTATTCGTATAGGAATAGGAATATGAAAATTCGTATAGGAATAGGAAAGGATGATATATTTCTACATTTAGAAAAGATACAAAATTTTGTAATAATAAAATAAAATAAAAAATAAGAAGATTCCGTTAATCATTTATAGATCTATTGGATATTGATACATGCATTGAATTCGTAGTCATGTATCAGACTGGAAGGTAAGACAATACATGGGTGCAACTATTTGTTTCATATACCATACATATATGGTACAGAATATATATGAAAAACGCATAATTAACAAATTTGCAATCGTGGATACATATTTATCCTTATCATACTGAAGCGGCTCCCATTATTGGTATCAAACCAATATCGATTCATACAAGATAAATCTTCTAATTGAGAATTAGGCCAAAGAACGAACTTTAATTTAATTAGTTTCTTTTTATCAAAATGTTTTCTTTTATCCAAAACAAAGTTTTTTACGTTGTTGCAAAATACTGGATTTTTATGAATACCATCTCTCTTCCGTGAATTGAAACAAATTAGAATTCTTAATTCTTTACGTCCTTTAGTGGATAAAACTTTTTCGGGAACAAAGAACAAATCATAATGATTTTTGTATCTATTTTCAGCCATTCTTTGATGTCTTTCAATGGATTTATCCAAATTAATCTTAGCAATATAGCTTTTTTCTCGGTATCTTTGATTAATTTGGGGCTTACTCTTATGAACCAATGAAATATTTAGACTTTGGTACATAATAAATTGTCCGTCATTTTTTATAGACAAACGAACTGGTTCGATAATTAATATACCCTTTTTCATTAATTCTGTAAGAGTTAAATCCTTTTGAATCATCAGAATATCTAAACTCATTTCTCCCCTTTGAATAGAGGATATAGCAATTTCTCTTGGATTTATCAGTCTAAGTAGGAGACAATATACTTTGATATTATTGATCATTCTTTGATTTAAAGAATCATCCCATCTCAATTGAAAACGTAAATACCTTTTTAGGAAGAAATCAAGTTCTGCTTCCGTGTTGCTCTTATATTGCTTTTTCTTTATACGTTTTTTCATATCTGAGCTTGCATAATCTTCTTCAATAGCTTTTTCTTGGTTTGAGAGAAGTGATCCAAGGTTCGCTTGATTTTGTGCATCTGATTCAAGATTATCTCGACTTGCGGATTCTTTTTCTTCTTGATTTCGATTCTCTAATTCAATCGATTTTTTTTCATTCGAAAATAGAAAAAGATTCCTTTTGTTCTTTCTAGTGATGTTTTTATTTTCACTACCATTTTCATTAAAATTTAAAAGAAGTAGTTGGATTGGTATGATCCACGGTCTCATAATATATGTATTATAAAGCAGCACAAATTCTGGAAAGAACCAAAGTTTCAGATTCGATATGGGACGACTTAGTATTTCTTCATTCATTCCGATCCAATCAAAAAGGTCTTTTTTTTTGTTGGATGCCGTAATTCCTCTATTTTGGGAAATTTTAAGATAAAAAAGACCTTTTTGATCCATTTTATCAATTATTTGATAATTATTAATCCCAGTCTTAGTATTTTTATTACCATTGGTATCGATATCGATCCAGGACTCAATATCGACTTTATTTCGAAGACAAAAATCGAAAATTCTCCAATCAAAATATTTTCTATCTGTAAATTTATCCAGATTCATAATAGCATCATCTTCTAAATTAATAGGAATAATACCTCCTGTCATATCAACGAATTTACCCTTTTTATATATCTTATTGTAATTATAACAAATCTCTTGTTTATTATTTAAACGTAATGGTGATACAGAAATATGTGAATCCTTCTTATTTTCATAATTAATCGATTTATATGAAAAAAGGTCATATTTATAGTATTGTTGAAAGTTATATTTTGAATTTGATTCAAAATCATTTAATTTTTTGTAATTAATTAATATTAATCGATCTTTTTCATCTGAATGCTTTTTGTTTAAATCTTTATTTTGCACTATACGGGTTTGATTGAATCTATTTCGCCATTTGTGTGGTACTAATCGATACCATCTAATCGGAGATAAATCATATTGATAATGAACCCTTAACCAGTTTTTCCATTGAATCATTCCCGAATTCCAAATATTTTTATGTTTTAATTCAGAATGAAAAATTCCTTGTGTTTCAAAATAATCCTTTATTTTATTCTTAAGAAAAAGAGATGTTCCGTGATATTGATATTGAAGGACATATCTTAACTTATACAAGTTACGAATTTGCGTTTGATATAATTGGTAAAATACATATGCTTGTGAGAATGAGGATAAAAAAATCTTTGATTTTTTATTACTAATATCCGAAATTGATTTTTTTATAGTCCAAATAAAACGAATTGTATTTTTATTTCTTTTATCAAATTTTTCTTTATTTCTTTCATTATTGTAAATGTATTTATCAATCATTTTTTTTGAATTATCAAAAAAAAGTTGTGTAGTGATCCTCGGAATATTAATGATACAGAGAAGGATATCTATGTATATCCTTTCAATTAAAAATTTGAAAAAAGAATATGATTTGTGGATTAATCGAACATTTCTTCTTTTTAATTTCTTTAATTTCTGCCAAATATTTTTTATTGATGCTAATAGTTTAGTAGGATAACTTCTTTTATTATAACTAATATTTATATTGATTTCCGGAGTTAAAAATCCTTTCTTCTTATCTTTTGTAATTTTTTCTATTTGATTCCTGATTGTGCTGGTTCTATCATCCAGATCTTTCATTTTTTTTTCTGTCAAATTCATAAATAGAATTTGAATGGACGATTCATTAATCATCCCATTACTGATTATCCCATCTTTTTCTTTTTTAGTTTCACTCAATTCATATATTTCTCTTAATCCAAATAATTGAATTGGGTTTCTTTTTGAAAGTTCTTTTATTATTCCTTTTAAAAATAGAATGTTTTTCATGACCCATTTTTTTTTTTCTTTCTTTTGAAAGGTTTAAAAAAAAATGGATTCTTTCTTTTAAAACCTGTATAACTAAAAAAGAATTCTTTTGCAATTTGATAATCTTTTTTCTGAGTTCTTTAAAAATGGGTTCAAAAAATGAACGTTGTTTTCTGGGAGAACCAAAAGGAAGTTCAGTTTCCATTCCCCAAACTGTTAAAAAACAAAAATCGTTTTTTTGCCCTTTATTTCTCAGCGGATCTTTCTGGGGGGGTGACACCTTAGATCTGTGCCAAGGTTTAAGGCAAAAAGGAAATAGGATCTTTATCTGAATACCGTCTGTCAACCAATTTTTTGGAAATTCGGTTTCTGATAATTGAACACCATTATAGGTGCATTTAACATGCATTTCTCTATTCCAATCTTTTAAGTCCTCGGACCCCTCGGGAAATTGAAATAATAACATACGGGCTATATTTTTAGCTATTATCACTGAAGGGAATAGAATATATTTTCTAAGAAAAGATTGGGTTACTAATAGGGATCCTCTTATTACTTGAGCAAATAAAATGCTATCCCAGGCTTCCGCTATTTCTATTCGTGCTTTCTCTTCTCTTTTGTATTCTTCTCTTTTTTCTTCCTCTTTTTTTTTCTCACTTTCTTTTGTCTTTTCCTCCGTATAATCCGAAATTCTTAATTCTGTTGTTTTTTTATACATCCAGTTTTTCAAAATGAATTTTATCATCCCGGAGATATCAAAAGAAAAAAGGGGTTTGTCTATTCTGTCCAAAAAAAGAGTAGAATGCACATTTGCTTGAAACAATTCACAAGTAACTGTTTTACGTCTTTGAGCACGCATAGAGCCTTTGATTATGTCTCGACGAAAATCCGATTGTTGTGAATAACGTATCAAAGCCACTTCGTCGGCTTGATCAGGATTATTAGTATTTTTGCTATTAGCATCAGTATTTTGATGGTTATCAGTAAAAATCACTACACGTTTGGCTTTTCTGGAACGAATCTGATGATCCTCTGCCACGTTTTCTTCGTTTTCTCCCTCCTGTTGTTCCAAATCGTTGATTAATTTGTATGACCACGGAGGAACTTTTTTACTTATTTCTTTTATTCCAATAGATTTTTTTTTAATTCTTTTAGTCTTGGGCTCAGTTATAACTGCGTTGAAGAAAATTTTCAAAATTTTTATTTGATCTTCTGAATTAATTCTTCCTTGTTCAGTTTCTGGAAATGGAAATAAATAAAGTTTTTTTTCTGTTGATAATGAATTTCTATCAAATGCATCTATTTGTTTTTCCAAGTTTTCCTGATCAGTATTAAAAAGTATAACATGAATCTTATTTATCCAACCTGTCTCGATGTAATTTTTTATAGAAATTTTATTTAGGATTGGGGATGAAAAAAAAGATTTGACCCTTCCACGACAGGGCCCTTTCAAAAAAGGATCATATATTTTAGGCAAGTATTCTTTTTTATTTTCATCATTACACAATCTAGTTCTTTTTTCGAGTACATCTAGAGTAATGGATCCTTTATTTCGAGTTTCCATTCGATTTCTAAATTCTTTGCTCAAGTTGTTCTTTTTTTGTTCATTGGTATAAATCCAATGATCATACAATTCATCAGAGGGTAGTTTTTCTCTTGTCAACAAAGAAATTTTTTTTTGTATCATTTCCAAGAAAGTTGACAAACTGGGGGGGTACGCAAAAGATATTCTTTCTTTTCCATTGTTTCGACATGTATAAAAAAAATATTGTGACATTTCATTTCTTACGGCATTTTCAAATTGATTGTTTTTTATATATCGCAATGGACGATTCCATCGTTTATAGTCGAAAAGAAGAGTCACAAGAGGTTTTTCAAACCATAATAAAAATGGATCTTCTTGAAATATTTCTAATTTCGAATTCTCTTTATTTTTATTCCGATCCATATAAGAAGTTTTATAAACTTGGCTATCTTTATAGAATGTCTCTTGAAAGTTGAATTCATCCCTTGTTTTTTCCTTTCCATTCACTCGGATCTCTTCTCTTTCATCGATTTTGTCCGGATCCTCCTTTTCTTCCGAAAAAAGGGAAGGAGAAGGATCTTCTTCAATGGATCCCTCTTGTTCCTGTTTAGTCCCCTTCGTTTCGAAAGTTGTTTCTATTTCTACATCTGTTTCTTCTTCGCTTTCCCCCCTTTCTTCCGTTTCTGAGGTTTCTTTGAATTTTTTAGTAACAATGGGTGACGGTATTCTGCCTAAATAGTAAACACAGGTAATAAATAAGAGAATACTAAAGATTCGAGCCATAGAATTTCTCAATTCT